GATCAGCGCGTTTCTCAGAGAAGGGACAGAGCGGTGTGGAATAAAGGTAAATTATGTGAAAAAATAATGCGTTTTTAAAAAAACGAAGCATTAACACATGTTAGACTGCACCCCATAAACACAATCAAGCCTAGAAAAAACCCAGTGAACCACCCCTTTAAGATGTGGTCACATTTACCTTTGTTTGGCGAATGGTCACGGACGAAATCCAGACATTTCAAAAGGAATCCACGCGATTTGGGCGAAAGATTTCCCCATGAAACAGCCACTAATAAGGCATCTACTTATACATATCTATGTTTTTATGTACATATGTGAAGGTGAATGTGTGTATATGCGACAGGAAGTGCACACAGGAGAACATGTCAAAACTCATACCAGTCTTTCTGTTCAAAAGAATAATCAAATGCATCTTGAACTCAGAGATCAGACAGGTTTTGAAAGGGGAAGATGGAATGAAAGACAAACGGAGAGACACACAGAGAGGAGGTGAAGGAATGAGTGGGTGGGATAAGGAGAGAAAGAGAAAGAAATGAAAAGTGTGAGGGAAGAGAGTGAAAGACATGAGTAAGAAAGAAAATCAGGGGGAGAGAGAAAGCATGAGAGAGAGGTGAGGAGAGTAGGAGAAAAGACAAATAGATCACGTCATTCACTCAGTGCTGCTGCCAGCGGCCTTCACTTCACTAAGGTGCATGCTTTTTATACTTTTTTTGCATGCCACTTTGAAGTTATGTTAATTTGAAACTTTGAAAAATCAGAAAGACAGGTGAATTTATTAAAACAAACAACTTCCTAACCATATGTTCAAAGGTAAATAGATAAATAAAAATAAATGAATTATTAATATGAACAATAATTTATATCATAATAATAATGGATTGAACTGAATTGAAAAAATAAAATAAAAATAAATAAAATTATTATTGTTTTATGTAAAATTCTTCTTCTTATTATTATTATTGCTGTTGTTGTTACGGTAATTATAAAGAATGATAAGCATTAAGCAATATAGTTTGTTAACCTAACTGTATAGGCTGAGTAAATAAACAAGTGATGGTCACATTAATTAAATAAAGCTTGCTTTGTTCAATCAGACTTTAGAGGTAGAAATATTCATTTGATAAACATTTAATTTACTTTATATTGGAAATTTCTTATAGCAGACCTTCAAAAATCCAAAGCTGACAGTAAAAAAAATAAAATCTACAGTACTTAAAACTGAGTTTGATACTATTTTCTCACATGTGGATCCAAAACCAGCAGCACAAATCACAAATCCTTCATAAAACCTGGAGGAGATTCACGCAGACGTCCTTGCTTTGTTGTAACGGGGCAGCATCAGGAGCTAGGAGCCGCTCCAGAGTTTAAATGGCCCATAAAGCTGAGAAGAGGGCCACTTCTATAGCTCTCACAGTAATCGCTATGTGCTTTTACTGACCTTGACATTTTAAGGGAATTGGAAACACGTGTCTGTTGACTTTTAGGGTCTGGATTATGTGGGATATTTCCTGTCTCCGCAGTTCACCATTCATGAACAGAAGTGTTCAAAGAGCCTCAGCTGAATGAGTTTCACACAGAGCTGACTCTAAATATTCACACGCGGTGAAAGATGAATGTGACTGTTTGTAGCGAACAGGATTTGAATGCTGGACTGAGTCTTGACTAGCTCAGCATAATATGCAGGTTTCTGCCATTTTACAGTTAATCTAGGGTTAAATAACAACTGAAATGCTATTGAAATGACTCAAACGAAGCAAAGCAATGTAGGTTGTGGCACATATATTCTAGAAGAAACTGGCATGATAAAGTAAATTGAATGTTTACAAAATGGATAGCTTCACCTATAAAATCTGATTGAACAACACATGCTTAATCATTTAATTCATGTGACCATAATTTGATTATTTATGCAGCCTACAGTTGGGTTAACAAATGATATTTCTTATCATTCTTTATAACCATATCAGCAGCAATAATAATAATAATAATGTTGTAAAGAATATGATGTAACATTGTTAAGTAGCCTAAACTATAACTATATTTAGTATATGTAATATAGTAGACAAACTGTAGGCTAAACAAATTATTGTCACATCAATTCAGTTTTATTTTCATTCTAGATGCATTATTATATTATATTAATTTATTTATAATATGAGAATTATTAATTATATGAACAATTAAATTATTTATACATTTCTATATTACGTTTATTTCTATATTTAAATTTATATTGGTTAGATGCTTCTATTATTCATAGGCTTTGTACTGTACTCTGCACAGTGGCAAAGTTGAATCTAATCTATTCTAACAAGGTATGTTTCGACTGGCACACTACTTATACTACTAGTACTATTTTGGCAGTATGCACATATACTATAGCATGCAATTTTTTAAAACTATAATTGCCAAAATTTGACAGACACACTGGATAACACAGTCTGCAATGAGACAAATGAACTGGACACATTATCAAGTGTAATTTCAGTGTCTTTCTTGACTCATTGACTCGACTGCCAAAAGTTGAATAAAAATTGTTAATAATTATACAGTATGCATACTGCACACTGATATTTCCTATAATACTTAGACATACTGTACAGTATTCTGACATATTCATACAGTATTCTGAAGATAGCCATAAATGGAAACACGGACAGGTGTGGAAACTTACCGGCCACAGAGTTGGGACGGGGCATGAGGTAGAGGGGGATGGAGTGGGCGGAGTGAGAGACAGAATGCTCCAGACTCCTCTCTGGGATTTTGTTGAGGCTGTATGTGGAGGCGGCCATGTTTTCATCCACCCGATAAAGAAAGGAGTCTGCACCCATTGACTTCTGCGCCTGCCAGAGTTTGAGGCTGCCCCGCGAGCCCTCGCTGTGTTTTCCTCCGTGCTCGGCATTCTCTGAGTAACTCGTGAGCGTTGCTGCAAGAAAGCAATGGGAGATTTGAAACAGGGACATTTTTGTATATGTACATCAATGATTAGCATTTATTTCTGTTACTAAAACAAGCCACAGAAAGTCTCTGACCTATAATGCCGCTGTCTCGGCTCTCCAGGGTGGAGGTGGGACTCGTGATGGAACCGTAAGCACAGTCTCTGGTGCCCATGTTACCCGGGGCTCCAGCGGGTAACGTGGAGCAGGGGCTGCCAGGAGGGGGCGATGCTGTGCTGCTAGCTAAACTGGAGCATGGGCTGATCCTCTGGGTCATGGAGACGCCCTGGACATCAGAAGAAGGAGAATTTCATCTTTGAAATTTCAGAATTAGAGATTTACAGTAACTACAAAAGTGTTTCTCCTAACTTGCCGAAAGAAATGAATGAAAACGACAACTGTTGCTTGGTTTCTAATTTGTAGCCCTGGTTTTTCCATCCAAAGTGAAATCTCATTGGTTCAAAATCCTACTCCTGTTATGATGAATTATATGAATTATATATAAGGGAATATAATAAATTATAACATGGCAAATAATAATAATAATGATGATAATAATGATGATGATGATGATGATAATAATAATAATGATGATGAGGATGATGAGGATTGTTATTTATATGTTTTTATTATTATTATTATTGTTATTATTTATAGTATTATTTTTATTATTATTATTATTATGTTAAGTAATAATAGACAGAAAAACAATGGTCACATTCATATGCAAAGGATATTGCATGTTTTTCTAGAAATACAAACACTATTGACAACAACAAATTTGTGTAAGTCATTAGTAAAACCACTTTAACTTGTATTGTTCCATTCAATTCAATATGACCATTTACATAAGAATAATTGTACAAACTGACATTTACATGCTTATGTTTCATGAGGGAGGCCTAATGTTCACTCATTGTTACACTGCAGAACTGTAGCATACTGAAGGATTTGTTGCTAGATCAGTGCAGCACTGCTGCTTATATATGAGGATCCTATTCCAGAAAAGCAGCACCGTTGAATGACTTTCACACACAAAAATGCCCACAGAAGTGGAAATCTGCAGACTGGTATTTAATGATACAGTGCTGTCCCATATTTCTGCTGAGGACTGCACACTCATGTGGAATTATCTCTTTTTATGGCCTGGGCTGACTTAAACAATTTTTCCACTGTGACTCAATATTATGTAATTTAATACAATGTTATTGGCTTTATGGTATATGACTGAGAGAACTTAGAATTTTCAACTCTTAACCAAATGGAAAGAGGAGAGAAATTAGTGTATTATTATGGCATGCTGCGCGGTCAGCGACAAGACATGAGCTACAAAAACCCACCAAGATAGTGGATCATTTTACCCAGTGGGAAGAGAGAGTGAGAAAGACAAAGTGAGAAACATAAACAGACAAAAAGTATGATAATGAAAGAGTTGCAGCAAAAAAAGTAAAGAGGGAGTAGAAAAGAGAAATGGAAAGAATAGGTGGTCAAGCGAGTTCATGTCTGACTCTGGGTCTGCGGTGGAGGCCACATTAATGACTTCATACAGACGGATATGAATTTCAGTCAGTCACTGGCACTTCTGTCCAGAAGTTGTTTTAGATGATACGTTTCTCACAACCAAAAGAGAACAAACTGCATGCCAAGAGGATGTTCTTTCATAAAAACAACAATTTAAGGATACATTTGCGGATCACAGCAAGGTTCTGATTTCAAAACTAGGGTTTGATCCAGGTTTAACACTAAGAACACTGAAAAAAAATAAAACTAGTGTCAAAACAATTTTTACAATCAGTTACAGTACAAAGAAACGACAGTGAAGTGTCGAAGACAGTGAAGTAGAAAGACTGAAACAGTATGTTCTTGTCAAACATACTCCAATAATCATTTTTTTCTTTTACTGTGAAATTAACCTTGTTTTTCTTTAAATGTGCACTCAGAAATCTTCATTTCTTTATGTTTTGATGATTTGTAAAACCACTGTAAAACCACCTACATTGGAACATTGACTACGACCGACTGAAAACCCATGAAAAATAATAATGCTTCACATTTCTTTTCACTATGAACCAGCAGTCGCTCTAAGTCAGATCTCAGACTCAATAACTTCCCAAATATGTCTAAATAGCTCTACACCTTTTTGTCCAGTTCAGGGTTCAGTGTGCGTGGGAGAGACTGGCTCTGAATCGGTGTTTCAGAAATTGTGGCCTTTCAGTGACCACGCTTGCTTGGCAGGGTCCAGCCTCTAAAATAACTCAGTGGAGATCTCGAGCAGCTCCGCCCAGCTGTGGACGGCAGGAGCCTTGCCTTGCGCGATACATTCCTGGACTCAACTATGTGTCGGATCAATGAGGTCGAGCTGAACTCAGAACAATTAGGAGGGAATGAAACACTTCTGATTTTAACCAGTGGAATGTTAGACAGAATCCAACAAGCGCTACATTCAGATTGTCATTTTAAAAATGGCTGTTTCCATTCTTAGTCACTGTTAGGATGTGTTAGGAGCTTTTGCAAATAATTTTTTTAATTAGGGTTGTCAATTTTACATGTTAAAGGACTAGTTCACTTCCAGAATAAAAAAATCCTGATAATTTACTCGCCCCATGTCATCCAAGATGTTCATGTCATTCTTTCTTCCATCGAAAAGAAATGAAGATTTTTGAGGAAAACATAATGGACTTCAATGGGGATCAACGGGTTGAAGGTACAAACTGCAGTTTCAATGCAGCTTCAAAGGGCTCTACACAATCCCAGCTGAGGAATAAGGGTCTTATCTAGTCATCTTAAAAAAGAAAAATGTATTTACTTTTTAACCACAAATGCTCGTCTTGCACTAGCTCTGCGATGCGCGTCTTCATGCATTACGTAATCATGCTGAAAAATTCACGCACGTTTAGTTTTTTGTCTGTACTTTAGTTCAAAAAGGCACGGTAGGGCGAAAAACTTCATTTAATTTTCTCCTCCAACTTCAAAATCATCCAACATCGTTGTTTTACCTTTTTTTTTTTTGTAAAGGGCATTTGACTTTCTTTGCACGTTCGCATTGTAAACACTGGGTCAGTACTTCCGCTGACGTCACACATGACCTTTCCATCGTGATTATGTAATGCGTGAGGTCGAGCTAGAGCAAGACATGTGGTTAAAAAGTATGTAAATTTGTATTTTTTTAGAAAACGACCTGCTAGATAAGATTTGTTTCCCTAGACTGGGATCCTGTAGAGCCCTTTGAAGCTGCATTGAAACTGCAGTTTGTACCTTCAACCCACTGATCCCCACTGAAGTCCACTATATGAAGAAAAATCCTGGAATGTTTTCCTCAAAAACCTTAATTTCTTTTTGACTGAAGGCAAGATTAAATGAAAATGACATCCAATTTTCTGAAGATATAAAAACACCCACACTCAATGTATGGGAAACACTGTAGTCTCATAATTGAAGTGTAAATTCTGCAGATTAC